TTCTGCATTGAAAACAATTTTTTTTTCTTGTTAAAAAAAGATTTTAGAAAGAATATTATAATTGTATATATGAATAAAAAAAATTTGTTATTCTAAATCAATATATATTTGAAGACGCGTCCTCAAACACTTGTTAAAAGCGATGAATAAATTTACGTAAATAAAAACTCCCGAGAAACATTAATTACTTTGATGAATCTAATTGAAATATTTCTAAAGTGTGCCACCCGGCCTGACCGTTTCTGAAATTAGTTATTTCCGCTTCTTAACTCTCTCAGACAATTTTTTTTTCTCTTTTCATCACAGTCACTCTAAATTTACAATTTTTTGTAAACTTATAAAAAATAAAAAAAATAGATTTTTTTTTTTTGAAATAAAATATTAAAAAATTTTTTTTAGATTCGAATCTATTTTTCCCTTTAAATATTTGTGAATGAAATATTTCAGATAAGAAGAAAAAAAAAGAAAGAGAGGAAGAGAATTATCAAATTGAAGAGGGAATTTTATTGCCCTCCCCCTTTGACCTCGGTTTTAAAATGGACCAAAAAAAAAAAAGAAAAAAAAAAAAGAGTTATAAGCAAGTGAAGTGACGGTCTTACATCTTCGTTTAGAGCGATAAATAAATTACTGAATGACTCTGGCCCGCGTAACTACCGCTTAACGATGATTCAGCGACCGGTCAAACGGTGCTTGAACCTCTCATTAAAAGTCATGTCACGACGACGAACCACCTTCTTAGAATTTACTCATTTTTATCCCGCGCAATGCTTTCATCTCTCTCCTCCCATCTTTTTTTTTACATCACTTCGAAAAAGTGCAAAAAAAAAAATAACTAAATAGTAACTATATATTTTTTTCCTAAAGCAATTTTTTTCACAAGAATATAATTTTTCAATGAAAGTATAACTTAATCAGAAAAATATTTGAAAAAAAAATGTAAATTAGTTGAAAAAAAATTTTGTACTTTTAAAATTTAAATTAGTGAGAATTCGTTTATTAATTTAAATTAATAAATAAATAAATTAATATTCTAATTTATCTACTAATTTTTAGTTATTTTTCACTAAAACTTTGGTAAAAAAAAAAATTATTACTAAATCAAATTTTATTTTACTAAAAATTAGAGGAAAATTACCACTAATTTTTAGTCATTTTTCTCTGAAACTTTAGTAAAAAAAAAAACTATTGCTAAATCAAACAGTAATATTTTACTAAAAATTATTGAAAATTTCTATTAATTTTTAATCATTTTTCACTAAAACTTTAGTAAAATAAATTATTACTGAATCAAATAGTATAATATTTTACTAAAAATTAGTTAAAATTTCTACTAATTTTTAGTTATTTTTCATTAAAACTTTAGTAAAAAAAAAAAATTATAACTAAATCAGAAGGTAAAATTTCACAAAAAATTAATAATAATTTCTACTAATTTTTAGTCATTTTTTTTTTACTAAAACTAGTAAAAACAATTATTACTAAATCAAGTAATAATTTTTACTAAAACTTAGTTGAAAATTTCCACTAATTTGAATTAGTTAACGAATTGTTACAAATTCAAATTTAGAGAATAGAATTTTTATTACTAAGTACATAATCGATTTATTTACTCAGAAAAATAATTTATTTGAAAAAACCAAATTTTTCTATGAATCACTAAAAAGTTTATTTGGCTCAATCAAATTTTTCATTTGTTCAAAAAAAAAATTAATTAAAATACACCAAACGTTTATTTATAGATTAAAAATAAATATTGATTTGAATTAAAAAAAAATTGTATTAATTAAAAAAAATAGTTTCCGTTAACTTAGAAAAAATATAAATAATTGTTCCTTTTCCATAAATTTTATTCGAAAAAAATAAGACGTTCACAAGAAGGTTTTTAGGGAAAAAAAAAAAATTATATTTTTCGAAAAAAAAAAGTTTTCTAGCATAAAAGCAACGTTCAATTAAAGTTGGATGATGTTTCTTTCCAAGTTTTAAGTACCTTGGAAGTAAGTACATATATATATAGCGGGAATGGGAATCAAGAAAGTAAAACGAGTGTAATAAAAAGGTTTTTTTTACAAAAGATGATTTCCCTCTTCTGGAAAATTTTTATCGATAGTAGTGCAAAAGATTTTTTGCTACAAAGTATTTTTGTTCCTCAATTTCTTTTTTCTTACTTTCGGGCAATTATTATCAAATAACTTTTAGTTTACCGATAATAATAATGAGTTAAATGAATAAAAAAAAAAGAATAATTTTTATTACACTTTTATATATATATATAAAAAAAGGGATCACGGAATGAAAGAGAGGCCTTGAATTTTGCACTAGTTGTATGATTCGTGCGAGCGTGACGAAACGTTTTGCAGCATTTCCGGATGCTGTGGCCGTTCCGGCCAGGAACTTTACGAGCAGCACAATCGTGACATCCCCAGGGGTCACTGTACTCGTCGAACTTCGAGTCAGAAGGTCATCGAGTTAAATTCAAATCATTCATGATTGTAATAATTCTCGTTAGAAATTTTCAAGAGTAAACTTTTATTTATATATATATATATGTGGGTTGATTTCATGCAAAATTTATATATATGACCTTTTTTAATTCAAACAAATTTTTTTCCCAAAATATACCTATATATATATATTTTACCGAATTCGAACATAAAAATTTATTTTATTATTCTAATTAATTTATTTTAAGAAACATAAAATATTATTTAATAATACCTAATAATAAAATATTTATTACAATAATTATAATTAAATTTTGGTTTGGATAATATGACCCATATATTTGATCACGAGAACTAAATTTTTTTATAAATTGATTGAAAATTAATTTTTTATTATTTAATCATATATTGTTCTTTGATATTCAACAAAAGTACACTGGAAAAAAAATTTATTTGATTCAAATACTCGATTACTTGACTATTATCAAATAAATATTTATTTGTATCAAATAATTATTATTCGAGTCAATTAAATTGTATTTGTTTCAAATATAAAAATTATTGGTTCAAATACAATTTATTTAATTCAAATAAAAATTATTTGGTTCAAATAAATATTTATTTAATAATACTCAAGTAATCGAGTATTTGAATCAAATAAATTTTTTTTTCAGTGTATTTTTTTTTTCAAAACAAAAAAAAATTGTTTTAAAAATAGGGAATAAAATACTATTTGAACTTTTATAAAAAATAACAGACGAACGTGTGATCAATGATTGTATGTTTCGTATAATTTCTACTTTTCGTTTGTATTTTTTTTTTTGTAATCTTTTTTTTTTTTTTTTTTTTTTTTTTTATCGGTTTTCCATCAAAGTTGGGTATTCGCGGTCAATAGCCCTTATATTGTCAGCCCAGTGGACACTCTTTGGTATATCGATTCAACGAGCAAACACTATACGTGTGCCTATAACATTGATGAGAAACAATATATACCTTCGAGTCACATATCGTCTTTCACTTTTTTTTCCATCCCTTATTTTTCTATATATAAGCATTATAACTAAATTTCATTCAATTCTATCCATTCTTTTTTTTTAATTAATTTTCATATTAACTGATAATTTCAATTTTTCCAGATTAATAATTTAATTGATAGAGAGAAAATGTATTTTTCAATTTTAGATATATTTTTGAAAATTAAGAATTTTAATAGAAAAAATATTTTTTTCTAACAAAAAAATAAAAATATAAAATAAATATAATAATATATATAATTTTTTAAATATAAAATATTTTGCATTCATGAAAATTTTATAATCCTTCGATTTTTCTAAATGAATTATATTCATTATTAGTTTTCTGACTATTCGTATATATATATGTATATAGTTAATATTTAAATAAAGCCTTGCTTTGAAATTTAATTTTGTTCTTTAGTCATTTATAAAAGGGGAAAAGGATTATTTGGATTTAATTTGGATTATCTTTATTGGATTGACCGACCGAGTCCGCATAGTGATTAAAAGCATTGAAATGTCTTCTCGTAGCTTGACAAAGACGATTACAAATAGTCCCGTGCGATTTTCAACTCGGAACTTTAAATATATATTTCTCTCTCTCTCTTTCTTTCTCTATAGACATATAATTAAAATTTTATTTTCAGAGAATTAATTGTCATTAAAGAATGTGTAATTTAACGAAATAAAAAAAAAAATCTAGATATAAATTCAATGACTGTTGTATATATATATAATAATATTTTATCAGTGCGCGCACAGCATTGAAATGTCACACAATAAACGTAATCCGACAAACGACAATTTAACAAAAGTCCTTCAACTTCGAGGACCTAATTAAAATAAATTTAATTCAATTAATTAACAATTTTTAATTAAAATTATTTTTTTTTAATTTCCAATTATTATTATTTATTAAATATTCTATTATTATTAATTATTAAATATTATTTATTATTATTACTATAATTATTGTAATAATTATTTTATTTTATTAACAGTCGAGACAAGCCCTTTCATACATGAATACTCCTAAAAGTAAATAATAATAATATATTATTAATTAATTAATTAAAAAATGATTTAAAAAAACAAATATTGTTATTATTACCAGAATACTAATTATTATCATTATTAGTATTTGTTACTATTACTAGAATACTAATTATTATCTTTATTAGTATTTGTTACTATTACTATAATTATAGTAATAATAATTAATTATTTAAAAAACGGTTTTAACAAAACGGAAATATTTATTATTTTTTATTATTTAATTATTATACTAATTATCATTTGTATTATTAATTAGATATAATTACATTAATTGAAATAAAGTTTCTTATTGAAAATTTAAATTTCTTTCGGGTGAAAAAAATTAGGTATTTTTAAAACGATATCAATAATATAACACCTCGAAATATTTTTACTGTCTTATTTTTTTTTTTGGCGAGATTTAATAGAGGTTTTTTTTTGTGATTCGTGTTTTGATGAGTGTATTTGGTGAATAATAATAAAAAAAATAGCCAATGACAATGATTACCTGTAGCATTTATCCAATCGAGTGTGAAAAAGCAACGGAGTCGGTGTTTATTCGTCCATTCGTTAGCTTACCATTACTGGGACGTAAATGACTTTAATGATCGTTGGCATTATTGATTTTGCTACTCGTCCGGAACACCGGAAACTCGTTTGTGTACTGGGTGTTCTGTTTCACTCGTAAGCCTCTTGAAAAATCTATAACACATATATATATATATATATGAATTAATAACCGAGTATCGAATACCTGACAATTTTGTCAACAACAGATTTTCCATCTTCTATTTACATAAACAAATACGAAAAAAAATATTCCGCTTGATTAAATTTTTTTTTTTCTAAATGTTGAAATATTTTTCTTTTATATATTTATAAGTTAATATTAATATAAATTTTATATGTAATCATTAACCTTGACACATTAACAAAAAAATTTATTGTTTGAAATTGGAACAAATTCTCTTTTTGTTTCGATATATATATATATATATATATATAAAAACCGAGGTTCATTAATTGTGAAATACGCGCCGTTTTTCTCTAAATGAACCTTGATTTTTTTTTTCCTTTCACACGACAAAACGAAAGTCAAGGTCAAAATATATTCCGAAAAAAAAATGCGAATTGTCTTTGTGGCTAGACTAACGTTTTTTTTTTTTTTCAAACAACCGCAACTTTACGAAAGATTGTCATATATTGTGTAAAACCTATACACTGTCGTAATGACCTTGAACATAGCATTAACCTTACACCGCAACCTGTAGATAACAATTGATTTTCACCTGTAAAATCGATAAAAAGAAAAAACAAACAACAGAAAAAGATTAGGTTTGTAAGGTGCGAAAATAGAAAAAGGGGGAATTATTATTATTGCAAAATTTTGTAATAAAAATTTTTTATTATTTTTCATATATAAAATAACAATAATAATAAAATTAAAAACATTTTTACTTTTTTTTTTGTAATAATAATTGTAAAAAAAAAAACGTTTTTTGACGTAATAATAATTGTAAAAAAAAAAACGTCTTTTGACGTAATATAATAATAATTATTTATCTAGAATATTATGAAAAAATTAATTTGCAAAAAAAATTTTTATTATTATTATTATTGTTATTATAATATAGAGTTAGATTCACATAACTGCTTTTATATATGAAAGGGCGATGCACCGTTGGCGTTATTCTCCTGGGGGCGCCTGCCCCCGCCAGAACCCCAGTCGGAACCCTCCAGACGTTGGGGTTGGGGCGGTCGATGCAGCATCACCATGACAACCAGACGCGTCGTCCGCTACTACCCCCTCGAAGCTACAGTGCATTCAACTAGGGTGCAATCTTCTCCCACCCCTATATGAAAATCCAGCCAAAAATCGAAAAAAAAAAACCGCACACGTCTGCTAAACTTTGGCAATACATTTCTATAAACAAGGTTGAATTTTTCATTTCCAAGGTCTTTTCTGCATGCGGACCAAGGTTGAACCCTTTTTTTTTCATTCTAAAAACATTGGGTTTTTTTTTTTTTTGAAAAAGTCGAAATTTTTTATTCAACTTAGAAATCTTTAATTTCGGGCAGAATAATTTTTGAGTAATTTGAAATTTATTGTTTACCCAACTAAAAAATGAGTTGCAACAAAAATATGTACCAATTTTTTTTTCCTACTGGTAATCTAATTTTATTGAAAATTGATTTGGTAATAACAGGGCAGGGAAAGTCAGGGAAACTTCAGGGAATTTTGTTGGTCAGGGAAATGTCAGGGAAAAGTCAGGAAATTTCAGAAAATTTCATTCACAGTCAGGAAAATTTTTGTAAATTTCTACAAAAATTAAAAAATTTTTTATTTAACAAAACTTGAATGGTTTTTATTACCATTTGTTACTACCATTAGAAATTAATTTGGAACAATTTTGAATGACCTTGAAAATCATTATGAGTCAGAAAATCCCTTTGCCGGTGATTTTGTAGATATAAAATTAATTTAACGAAAAACGTAGTTTTCCGCGTTTAATAACCAAATTATTATACACCAGGAGGAGAGAAGGAAAACAAGCGTCATCGGCGTCCTCGAGTCGCATGTTGCACCTAGACAGTCTGACATGACCTTGGTTGTGCTTAGCAACCGGATAGGTCAATACTTTCCACAACTTCTCTCTCTCTTTTTTTTTCTCTCTCTCTCACACTCTCTATAACTCGGCGGATAAAAAAGTTTCCCATCTGTAACTATACTCCCCCACAAGTGCGTCTCCCTATTTTATTTTTACGAACAAGAACATTGTTCCAAGCATTTTTCTGCCCTTAAAAAAAATTATATATATTCGACGTGAATATCAAAAATTACTTTTCTGTATTATTAATTTTAAATCAAGTAATTGCTGATTGCAATTATATTTTTTGAAAAATATAACAAAAAAAAAATACTACTTGTAACTGTATCAATAATTACCATCAGTGAATTAAATATTGTAATTTAAATTTCAATCAATTTAATTACAATTTCCATCGACATTATTCAAAAACTTTTCTCTGAGTTTGTATTTAAATAAAGATAATGGCATAAATTAGCAACGATTGAATTTTCCAATAATATGAAAATAAATTTATTTTCCCCAATTGTTGTAAAGTATCTACTTACTCCAATATTGAAAATATTATTATGTTGTTTGTAAAAAAGAAAATTTTTATTTGATCCAAATAATCGGTTAATTTACTATTGAATCTAATAAAATATTTCCCAGTTGGAAAAATTCCCCGGAAAGTGACTCCTGGAGGTTCTATTAGAATTCTGCCGGAACTTCCAACGTAATTCCATTGGAGTTCCAAAAAATTTCCGATGGAATTCCGACGGAATTAGGACTCTAAAAATTTTTGAAAAAAATAATCGGAATCCCATCGGAAATTCTTTGGAATTCCGACGGAATTACGTTGGAAGTTCCGGCGGAATTCTGATAGAACCTCCAGGGGTCACTTTCCGGGGAATCTTTCCAAGTGGGTTATTTGTATTAAATAATTATTATTTGAAATGATATTTATTTCAAATACAGATATTCTTAAAATTACAATATAATTTTTTTCAGTAAAGTATGCTGTCAAGTAATCAATTATAAAATAATTTTTTTTTCACTGTATTTTAAATTATTTCTGAAATAAAAAATCTCTATTTTAAATTGTCAAAAAAAAAAATGCTAAATTTTCTAACATTATATTACGTTTTGAAAACGTATTGCAAACTTTTCGTACCCCTGGAGAACCTTCCAGACTTTTCTCGTCCAAGGTCGACGCTCGTGCGAACGAACTGTATACACACTCAACCCCGGCAGTCTGCCGCCAGTTGCAATGGGGAAAGAGTGAACAAGGGGTGAAAGAGAAGCAGAGGGTAACTGAAGCTGATGGCGAAATCGTTGAAGGGAGGGTTCGAAAGAGAAAGATAGAGAGAGAGAAATGGTGAGCGTGTGAATAAGAGAGACGTCGAGAGGATAAGAGGGTATATGAGAGAGAGTAAGAAAGATAAGGCAAAATAGAGAGGGGAGTACGAGTGAGTAAAAGCGAGAGAGACAGAAAATACAGGAGTGAATAAGAAATAGCGAAAGAGAAGAACAGCCAGAGAGAGAAAGAGAGAGAGAGAGAGAGAGGAATGAAGAGAGGGAAAGGTACTTCACGACCCCTGAACGTGGTTCATCGATCCAAGGGTGCACGCACCCTGTGCACCTCCGCACGCATATACACAGAATTATAAATTCTTTTCAAAATGCATTTTGCAAATAATAACGTTCTGTTTTTTATATTTCCATAACGATATAATAAATAAAAAAACAAGTATGATTATATTTTTTCAACCATTTTGCCCCTCACCATTCTGATGGTATTTGAAAATGCAAAGTAACAATTTGCTTACCATTTTACGATCTTGCCAAATTGTCGTAAAAGTCATTCGCAGCTGTCTCTCCCAAACCCTTCTATACAATTATTTTCGCAATAATGAATTAATATTTTTTTTTATGATACATTAGATTAAGAAACAATTTGGATATTAAAATATTATGTGGATCTAGTATTAGAATGAAAAAAGCAGGAAACTGTAGGTGATAGGTAATTAATTTCATTGCATTGCGCATCTTTTTCTCACGCGTGGCTTAAGTCATCAAAAATCTCTCTCTCTCTCTTTCGCTTTATTTTTCTCTTCTTTGTTTGAACCTCCGGCCTTTAATGTTTCCCCCGCATTCGCCGTTAAGCTCGCGATGACTTCCTCTTAAGACAGAGAGAGAGAGAGGAACGTTCACCTCGTTATCACAGACACGATCGAAATTCCTGCACGAAGGTTGCCAACGAGGATGAGAGGGAGCAATATATAAATACACACATACACCAACAACAACCAAAGTAAAATGGTAAAATCCAAATGTTTCCTGGAATCGCCTCTCGCAAATACTCATTCCTGTTGCTCTTTGCCCTCGAAACTCCAAAACTCTCTTCCGTTTTCACAGGAAAAACACAAGTTATGAATTGGATTCTTTACAGTCCATCTTTAAATGTGTCTATTTCTTTTTTTTTATGCTTAAGAAGAAAGGATCGTTTCTTTTTCTATACGTATTTCTCTTTGTTTCTCTTTTTTACCCCTTGTCAAAAGATGTTTTACTCCTTGCTGCATACTTATTTTGAGATATCGAATTTGGTATAAGCGACGAAATCTTGCGATTTTTTTTTCTTATTTTCCAAAGGAAATAAAATCTCATTTTAATAGATCGAAATTGAAGAATGAAGATAATAAAAAGCACCCGCATATGTATATATATGAAACAAGTGCGATGACCTTCGTATTCGTGACCTTGGTCTCATCGTATAATGCCAGAGTGCGGGCACTCAGGTGAAACATGGTCGTTCAGGCGGGTACGAGCGATTTAATTAAAGGGTTTGTCTATATATATATATATATATGCGGGAGGATGAAGAAAGATGAAGCGGAAAAGAGAGAAAGAGAAAGAGGCGCAGCGTTAAAAAGTGAGTTCAGATTACGTCGCCCTTTTACGCGTGGGAAACGTGTCGGATTTGTCTCAAAAGCCAATCTCTAATTCGTCACCGTTCATTATCATAATTTCGCAGTGCAAAATTATCTTGAAAATCGTTACTTCCCTGTCCTGAATATAGAAATTAATTTTCTCCTTTATGATACTGCACGAAAAACAAAAAAATCAATCTTCTCTGTAAAAAAAAATGTTGGATAGCACGATTTGACCTCGGTAGGATAAATCTGTTATTTCGATTTTAACAGATTTGACTACAGAAAACAAATTGGTTCGATTGGAAACAGTGTAAATTAAGATATATTAGCTGTTAGTTTGTGCTTCTGCCATCTGACGGCGACTGTATGCAATCAGTTCTATGATAATTCAGTCGAACGAATTAAACCTTCTATTGAAAACAGATTTGACCAGTCCAATCTGTTAAAATCGAAATAACAGATTCCTCCTATCCGAACTGTTACCTCGGATCCAACATTTTTTACCCGGCTTTAGCCAACTCACAGAAATGTTAAATATGTAGTTTCCACATCTGTAAATTTCGTACAGTGATAATCTGGTTCCACAAACGCGATTTTGTGAAAGCAGTATCAAAAAAGTTGTCACAGAAACAATCTACAAGATTAACGATGGTACTCCAATTCTGTAAATAAAAACTATAACCTTTATCAGTAGACGGAGCAGAAATTTCTGTGATATGAAAATATTTATCACCCATATAAATCGTAGCTTAGACCTACCATAATTAAAGAATTTTAGAAACTGAATACACTATTTATGAAACAAATGAAAATAATTTTTGTTATTTGTTACAGGGATGCCGGTTGACTGAAGATGGCCTCACCAACACCATCACTGGAATCGCGCGCGAATTCCCTTGGCTCTCTGGCCTCCCTTTCTCCGCTGACGGTGAGCGGAAGTTCTCCACCAGCAAGTGACTCAGCAATTTGCGACGTCGATACCTGTGATCTTTGTTTGGATAGTGCAAAACCAGGAGACGCACCGTGCCCGCGTTGCCGATTGGGAGGCGCTGGCGGCAACGGTGTACGTTGCACCGGCTGCAAATCCACCGAATCAGACGCAGTAGCAAGGTGCTTTGATTGCGCCAATTTTTTGTGTCCAAATTGTGTAATGGCTCATCAATTTATGCATTGCTTCGAGGGTCACCGAGTCTTGAATCTCGGCGACTCAAAATTAGATTCAACAACTGGTAATAATGATAATAAAAATAATCTTGTTGTTAATGGCGGCGGTACAAATGGTGAGAAAATTCTCTTCTGTCCACGACACAAGAGTGAATTGTTAAAATATTTTTGCCGTCATTGCACAGTACCAGTTTGTAAAGAGTGCACCATTTCGGATCATCCAGCGCCACTTCACGATTGTGCTCACATCTCTGAAGTTGGCCCACAACAACTTGAAGCTGTTGCTAGAATTGTTCAAGAATGCCGTGCAAAAGCTGCTGATGTTCGCGCCGCAGTTAAAGCCGCCGATCATGGTGCCGCAAGACTACAAGTTCAATATCACAAGGCACAAAATGAAATTAACGATACATTCCAATTTTATCGATCAATGCTCGAGGAACGTAAACAAGAACTTCTCAAAGAACTTGAATCCGTCTTCTCAGCAAAACAAATATCACTTGGCGTTGTCACGCAAAAAGCAAACGAAATGGCCGACAAAATTCATCAGACATGTGAATTTGTTGAAAGACTGACAAAACATACAACTGTCACCGAAGTTCTAATGGTGAAGAAATTACTCGATTCAAAATTACAAATTCTCCTGAGTTATTCACCCGATATTGCTAATCAAAATGCTGATCTCGAATTTGTCAGTAACTATCAAGCGATTCAAGTTGGTGTGAGAAATACATTTGGATATGTTCGCAGTAATAATGAAAGTAACGCTGGACCCAGTAAACAACCACCAATTGCGAGACCAACATCATTGTCCAATGGTAGCAGTAACAATAGCAGTGGACCCGGAAGTGCAGGATCATTAGGTGGATTATTACTCGATCGACCCTATAGCAATGGATTGGTAACGAGCACGAATTGTGTATCAACATCGCCATCGCCTTTTGAAAATAACAGTGTCATTTCAAAAAGGTTCAGTTCAGCGAATAGTCTTGGTCCATTTTCAACAACAATCAGCGATCTTGGAATGAATCCCTATGAGAAATGGAGTAACGGCGGCAATGACGCTTATCCAGTTTCAGTGACAGCGAACGATCATTTCCCTTTGCCAGCGGTAGCAACAGTTACAGCGGCACCTGGTGACTCCGTCCTTGATCTCACATCGAAGCTCATGTCCTCCGCTGCCATATTCCCACCAAAATCACAAATAAAACGACAAAAAATGATTTATCATTGTAAATTCGGTGAATTTGGCGTAATGGAGGGTCAATTCACTGAACCATCGGGAGTCGCTGTTAATGCTCAAAATGATATTATTGTTGCCGACACCAATAATCATCGAATTCAAATTTTCGATAAAGAAGGAAGATTTAAATTTCAATTTGGTGAATGTGGCAAACGTGATGGACAATTATTATATCCAAATAGAGTTGCCGTTGTACGTACATCGGGTGATATTATTGTCACTGAACGTTCGCCAACACATCAAATTCAAATCTACAATCAATATGGACAATTTGTAAGGAAATTTGGAGCAAATATACTTCAGCATCCACGTGGCGTCACCGTCGATTCCAAGGGAAGAATTGTCGTTGTCGAATGTAAAGTAATGCGTGTCATTATATTTGATCAAGGTGGTAATGTTTTACAAAAGTTTGGCTGCTCTAAACATTTGGAATTTCCAAATGGCGTTGTTGTCAATGATAAACAGGAGATATTCATCAGTGACAATCGTGCACATTGCGTTAAGGTATTCAATTATGAGGGTGCTTATTTACGACAAATTGGCGGCGAAGGTATCACCAATTATCCAATTGGTGTTGGTATTAATGCTGCTGGTGAAATTCTCATTGCGGACAATCATAATAATTTTAATTTAACTATTTTCACACAAGATGGCCATCTTGTCTCGGCACTTGAAAGTAAAGTGAAACACGCTCAGTGCTTTGATGTTGCACTTATGGATGATGGTTCAGTTGTTCTTGCCAGTAAGGATTATCGACTCTACATCTATCGTTACGTGCAAGTCCCTCCAATTGGCATGTAGAATTCCGAGTGAGGATCTAGTGGACTTTTTTTTACTTGCTACCCTAAAAACCCTTAACCCCCTAAACCCCCCCAAAAACGTCGTCTTGCCTGTCTTGCTAATTGTCAAATTCTAATTTTTTTTTTTTAAATCTCCGAATCGAGAATTCATTGCTGACTCTATTCGTGAGCATGACTTCTAATTCGTGACTTCGAATTAGAATTCGATTTCTTAAGTCACTATTATAATTAATTTCAGAATCGCGAAGATTACTTAGACTGATTCTCAAACAAGTGACTTGATTTCCAGTCACAATCATTCTTAATTTTTCAAGACTGATTATTAATGACTACGTTCACGTGAAATAAATTCTCGATTCGTGGATTTTTTTTCAAAATGAATCGAACGCTTTTGTGAAAAAAAAAAACACAAAAATAAAAAACTTTCGTAAGAGTGCCGCGAGTATGACAGCGACCTAATCTTTCCCGCGACTGGCTCATATTTAAAAAAAAAAAAGGCACGCACACGCGAGGATTGAAAAATGTGTGTACTGAAAAAAGCCATTCAAAAAAAAAAAAAAAACTGACATACGTACACACGCGCGAAAAAAAAACTTACTTGTTAATGTTGTTATAACTGAAAATACTGTTGTTGTTGTTTAGTTGTAGAGCTCGCCGCCGCTAGTCACTTTTCCTCCTCTTCCTCTTTATCCCGAATTAAATTCCTCTTTGCCCGTTTTTCCCCCCGACGTTCCCTGAGATAATTTTTTTTTTATCATTCCATTTTTTTTTTAAATCACCGTTGTCATCGGCTTATCCGCTCGCTATATTGAGGCGAGTCGAACATCGTTATCGTCATCCTGCAACTTTACACGGTTTCCACTACGATTATTATTATTATTATTATTAATTATTATATTATTTTTTACAATTGTTCTTTGACATATTTTTTTTTTTTGTATAATTAAGTAGATTATGAATTAGCGTCTTTTGTAAATCGAGTGAATTTTTTTTTTTTTCTTTAATTATAAAATGACGACAGAAACGTTACGCCGTTTAGATTTAGTGATAAGAAGAGAAAAAATTAGACGAAACTAAGACTCTGCGAATTTTTCCGCCAGAGAGACAAATTATATTAGGAAAAGCGTGACGTGATCGGAATGATTGCGAATTTATTTGCCTGTCATGTATTTTTTCCCTCCCCTTTCTTTTTTTGTAATTTTTTTTTTTTTTTTTTTTTTTTTTATGTACATAAAAACCCTTTGTTGTTCGCGTCACGCTTCTAACGTTAGTACGTCGTGCTTAGTACTTTACACGAAGAAGCGATGAAGGCACATACATCAGGGTGCTTCGCGTTTTCATTTCGCCTATTTAAAAAATTGATTTTTAATCTTCGCGAATTACGAATTCAAGAGATTAGCGGGAAAAAAAAAATGAGCTTTTTGTGATCGTTATATTTTTAATGATCTCAATGATCTTGAATATTGAAAATAACGTCAGGAAGAAGGATTTTTGAAATTAAAAAAAATCGAAAATTTTTTTGAATATTCAAGATCAAGTCTAAAAATCGGGTTTTTTTTAACCTGGAGAATTTAAGATAATAGAATTTTGAAGAATGATACGTTTTTTTGAAGATCAAATTCTTGATTGTCAATATAATTACAGATAAAAATTGAAAAATAATTAAATATAGAAATTGAAAAATCAAATATCTTCAAAGAAACGTATCGTTAAACATAAAAGATCGAATGATCATTAAACAAAACAATCTTTAATCGTAAGGATTTTAAATGATTGAAAAAAAAAATTTAATTCACAGATAAAGATCTTTAAATTTACAGATTTAAAAAATCATCAATGATCTTCAAAAGTTAACGATCGAATAAAGCTCATTAGAAAATGAAAAATTAAATCCTACATCAAGATTCGATAATTCGAAAAAAAAATAATGTGCAAAATGTTCCGTAATATGGAAATGAAACACAAAAAAATTGGCAATTTTCCACCCTGATGATAATGATGAGCATAATATGGGAATTTCTTTGAAAAAAAATTAATCAAATGACGCTCGTAGCTGAAAAAAAAATTTTTCTTTTGATCAGGGAGAAATTTTTTTTATTCTTTTAAATAATTAACGAAAAGACCCTATTGAGAATTACGATTTTCTCGAAAATAATAATTGAAGCACCCTGAGAGCGAGGCTCGTTTAAAAAAATAAAAAAAAAAGACAGTATTACGCGCATTTTCCCCTTTGTACAGTGTAGACAAAAAAAAATACACACACACAACCTTTATCTTAGTTTAAAATTGTTTTTGACAAGAACAAAAAAATTTTTTTTTTTTGAATGGAACTAATTTTACGTCCAAGTCCTCAAAAAAAAAAAAAAAATTTCCTATCTTCCTTAATATACATCCGTTATATGTTTTCTACTTTTAATAATGTGTCTTTCTTTGTTTTCCCAATTTCCCTTTTTTTTTCCTTTGACTCCTCCTTAAGTACGGTAGAACAGTAGAAAAGTTTTTGATTTTTTTTTTTGTGATGTATCGCGTAAGAATGTTTTTCTCTATCTCTATCTTTTTTTTTTTTTTTTTAATGTCTGTTATTATTATGTTTTTTTTTTGGTTTGTTTTTTCACTATCTTTTTTTTTATATACATATATATATTATATATTATAATTTAAGTACCACATCGCTCTCGATTATTTCTCAAGGACGACCAATTTAAGGTATATCAACGAAAGTGCTCGCGTTTTCCCAATTGAGCCTATATTAGTAATATATTTTGTTGGATGGGTCGCGAATCGGATTATGATTAACGACTTCATGCGTGTTTACTATTTACATTATTATTATTATTATTGTATTATTATTATTATCATTATTATTATTATTATTATATTATTATTATTATTATTATTATTATTATTATATTATTATTATTATTATTATTATTATTATTATTATTATATTATTATTATTATTATCGTCTTGTCCTTATTTTTATTTACTCGAATGCGTTATCAAGACATGAGTGTTACTGCTGATTCGTCGCGTTTGAACCAAACGATTTTTCGATTATAAAACTCAACTAGTGTTACAAAAAAAAAAAAAAAATTCGTCTGGCATGTAATTTGTTTGTTTTTTTTTTTCTTTTTTTTAAATTCTCAAAATATTTCCAAAGAGAGACTCTCCGGGGACGATGCGTGTAACTTTTGACGATTTCGGGCAAAAAAAAAACCGAAAGAAATCCCTTTCTTCTATTTGTTATCAATTTTCTTTTGTGGTACGTCCAAATTGTGTATGTGTGTATGTCCTTATGTGAATTTGATTTTTAGAATTTAAAAAAAAAAAATCAAATTCGTAAATTTTTTTTAACTTCGTAACTTTAAAAATTCCTTTCGAAGGTGTAAAAATTTTTAAAGTTTCGAACTAAATAAATTATATATTTATATATATTGTTGAATATTATTAATTTTGTACTATAATTAATCATCGAAAATATGTTTCGCTAATTTATTATTAAATGTTTTTTTTTTGTTCAATTGTCAAGAAAACATTTTCTGATTATTCACAGGATATTTTTTTGACAATTTTGAAATGTACTTTCGATGAAATTTTTGTTAAAACTAAGTTTAAAGGAAAAAAAAAAGATTAATTAAACAAAAAATCAATTTTATAAGTAAAAAAAAAAAAATTGATAATCGAATTTATAAAAAAAATTACATATATGAAAAAATTAAGATTCAGTAAAAATTCAGTATTCATCGAATCTCAAAGTGGACGTTCCGCAAAATTTTCCCAGCGTACTTATTTTTTAGTAAACATGATTTATAGGAAAAAAAAAAAATTAACCCCGGAGATTCTCGAAATCGTGATCGATCGATCGAAAAAAAAAAATTAACAAATTGTGAAGAGGGTGTGAAAGAAAAATCGTTTTACGTCCTCGATTGTCAAATAAAGCGATTGTGGAGAAATTATAAATTGAATGTCAACAACGATTAAATATATAATTATGAGAAAATCGTGAAAAGCAAAAAAAATTTTGTAACAAAAATTTAAATGTTGAGAGAAATCCTAAATATATTTGCAGGAATAACGCGACGTGTCAGGCACAGATTTAAGGTTGTTTAATATATATATATTTTTTTTGTACCTAGTTTGTAGGATTAACATGAGGTCGTTGCGAAAAAAATTTTTTGCAACTCACACTTTTTTTTTTATTGTTGAGAAAAAAAAAATGAAAGACCATTTTTTTTTTTTGCAAAAATTTTTTATGAAAACTAAAATTTTTTTTAAGAAATCAAACGCGTATCGATCTCATAGACTCGCGCGTCGTCGTGATTCCTGCAAATAAAAAAAAAGGATAAATGTGCGATAAAAAAAAAACAGAGTTCGACGATCGATCGATCAACGAACACTTGCCAACAAAACTAGACACATTTCGCGTTTTCTTCTCTTAGGGAATGGGGTGGGAGATCAAATTGGACGCAATTTTTTTCTTTTTTTTTTAGTTCCGCGTCAACTTGTGCACGATATAAAAAAAAAAACATGCGACATTCTCTCTCTTTTTGTACGGTTTGTTATGTTATTATTTTAAATGATAAACCCAATTGTTCTTAATTTAAATGTAAATCGTATTTTTGTTTGTTTTAGTTATTTTTTTTTGTTGTAAAATGCTTTTTAATAATATTTTCAGTTCACATTACATGGAATGATTGTCTTTTTATTTTTTGATTGTCAAAAAAAAAAAAAAAAACCCTCTCATTATCCCGATCCCGATATTTATTTTATCTTATCTTCCTTTTTTAAAATAAGTACAAGGACTCACGCAGTTAATTTTTCATTTAGATTTATTGAAATGAATTTTATTTATTTTTAGTTTAAAAATTAATTTCAATAACAAAAATAAAATAAAAATAAAAAATAATCTACTTAGAAATTAATTAATAAGAAAATATAATAAATTGCAAATAAAATAATTTTTGATTAATAATCAATTAAATAGAAACAAATATTAATTATTCAAGATTTTATTTAAAGATCAGAAATGTGAATTTTCTAAAAAATCGTATATTTTTTTTGTGAATAATTTAACGATTGCCGCTCATTAATTATTGATATATTTTTAGTCTATTTTGTGAATAATTGACAGACGTGGAATTAAATGAACGAGTAATGAACTAGAGTGCTTTTTAGTATATGTAAATGAGATAATATTAAAATAAAGAAATTAAATGCGTGAGTCCAAATCCAGTTTTTCCTTCTTTTTTTTCTGAATCAATTAGCAATGTCTTGATTTGTTATTTTATAATTTTTGTAATTAGCAATTTTCTAAAGAGTAGAAAAACTTTTGTGTTTTTACTATTTTATTTTTATCACTGTATAAATTTTTTTTATTTTTATATGGTAATTGGAATAGTTATTAAAATGTCTACTTTTTTTTTGCTTTATTTTCTTATATTTGCTTTTCGTTTTCTTTTTCTTTTGCAGAGAAAAAAAAAAGGTAAAATAATAATTAGCGACGAATCAGAAATATCAAATCGAGAATTAAATTTTTTTTTTTTATCGATGTCTCTGAAAGGAAAGAAGTATTGACCAATGAGAACACAGTGTCTCGCTAAGCGTTTTAATTTCATTGAATTGCAAATGGAAATTCACCACTGTTCTTCCTATTATCACTGATGGCCCTTGGAAAATTCAATGGAAAATCGTGGCATTGTCGATTTAAACACAAAGACGTCTATTTGAAGTGAGAGAGAAAGAGAGATCTCAATTTGATTTAGAATTTCAACCGATTTATTATAAGTCAATGATGCCGTTATCAACTGGAACACACACACCTTTATTTTTCTCCATATAAAAAAAAAATTTCCAAGAATTTTGTAAATTAAAATTCACTTTTAATATTATCAGTTATTTTCTCACATTTTGAATTTCATACACGGAAAAAAGGAAATATTTTCACTTTTTCCTTTCGTTTATCAGAGACTTGATAATTTTTTTAAAAAATTAATTCTCATTTTAATTTTATAATCGATTTTTCTATATTTCTCAATTTAGTATAATTATTTATTTATTATTATTTATATGTAGGAAAATGAGCCAAAAGTTTTGAACGTTCAAATGAACAAAATTTTTTTTCCAACTTCTTTAAGTACGAATTTTATTACAAAATATTGTTTTAAATATCTAAAAAGAAATTTCACTGTTTTATTTTACATTGACATAATAATTTTTAATAATTTTTAGATTGAAAAAAATATTTCCTTCATTTGAACGTTCAGAACTTTTGGCTCATGTAGGAAAACTAATTCTTAGTTTATAAAAATTAAAAATTAGTAATTCAGTAAAATAAGTTTTATATTGTATTTAATTTATTAGCCAAATCAGTGAATTTTTGAAAAAATTTTCTTTCTCCAATAAACTTTTTTCAGTCAATATGTAAATTAGAATGCAAATTAATTTTAATTAACTAATAATTTAATTTTAATCGCTATAATTGAATCGAATTTATTGTAAAAAAAAATATAGAATAATTTTTTTCTTCAGTGAATTCTTAATTAAAAATATAAATTTTTGGTAAATATTTTTAATTAAGATACCTGTGATATTGGATCTCAATATTTGACTAAAACCAAAGGTGATAACTAAAATAGAATTTCTCCAATATTCTCTTATTATTTATTTATTTATTCGTAAAATGTAGAATTTGTGTGATTTTTTTGCTTTGTTTTTCTCTTTTCTATATGCACTCGTGTGATTGTAGATTATATATAGAAATATTCCCAATGCGCAAAAAAAAGTCTATAAAAATAATTGTCCTCCTGTATTATAGTGAATAGAAAAAAAAATCGGAAAACAAAATCCAAACGGCGTAACGAGACTCTCTTTGAGAGTGAATTTTTTTTTTTTTCAAACATTTTTTTTCACATGTGAAAATTTTTTTTTCAAATTAAATCGTAGAAACAAAAATAATTTTGTTTTCAAATTAAATCGTAGAAACAAAAATAATTTTGTTTTCAAATTAAAACCGTGGAAAATTTTTTTTTTAAGTTCGAAAAAGAGGCGCTTATATTTGAATAAATATAAATTGTTCCTGGAAAGAGTGCTAGTTGTCTTTAGTGCGTGATTCCCTGGGAAATGAAGAAGTGAAAAAAGAAAAAAAAAAAAAAACGGGCACATATATTAATAATAATAATATTAATATACTCTCTAAACTATATTTGCATACTTCTGGCGCTCGGCATAATTGATTAATACTGGTTAATCGAGTTTTTAGAACTTAGCGTTCGGATAGATGACATATATATTTTTGTACGTTCGCATGTGTATTTAACCGAAGGCGCCGAGACTCTTCAAGGGGGAAATAAAAAAAAAAAATTTTGCAAAATGAAACCAAATTTTGCAAAAAAAAAGAGTGGAAAAAAAATCGAGAAAGTACAGATATCGTGTGTGTCAATAAAACTGACGTTTGAAAATTTTTTTTTCAAGAAAATAGCGCGGCGACTCTTGATGAAAAAAAAAAAAATGATGCATAACTCTTCCCGGGCCCAAATAATGTTACTTGAGAAAAAAAAAGAGGATACATTAAATAGTTGATTACTATTTTTAATTATTAACACTCCGTATTGTTGCATGCCTAGTTAACGTATAGTGATTACCACGCGATGGTTAAATACGAATAAGTAATATTACAAAAAATAAAAACAAATAAAAAATAAAATACTTCTTCGCTTATAATGCGAGTGATTGTTTCCTAGATTTAAGTGGTATACATATTGTGTACATAAATGTTACAATTGCATACGTGTTTATGTAAGCGTGTAACACGCGATTTTTGTGTGCTGAGAGAAAAATTCACTGTCTTAATTTCCCCCCAAAAAAAAATCAAATTTTATTTCCATTTTGATCGAAAAGAAAATTAATTTTTTTTTTCAATTTTCAATTTAAAAAGAATAAAAATCAAAAATTTATAATTTTTATAATTGAATTTTGGAAAGATTATTTATCCAAGAATGTGATAAATAATAAAGAAACGCACAATTGATGGAAAATTTGTTTTTTCAAAAACTATTTTTTTATCCAAAAAAAAAAGACGCGAATTAATCTCTCGGCCTTAAGGCTGTCGAACGTTCTTGTTTGAAACGACAATCTATTCCCGTAAAAAAAAAAAGAAAATTCAACCATTCTCCAATTCGTAAATGGATCAATTTTCGAATTACAAAAATCGCCCCCCCCCCCTTTCCAAAAAAAAAAATCAGATAATTTTAATGACAAATGCTTTTTCTGACGAACATTAAAAAAAAAGAAGTATATTGGGAAAAAGAAATTTTGTTATTTCAACATATTTTTTTATAGTTTTGCATACATAAATATATATATAAATAATAAGAAATAAATCATATATTGGGCAAAACTAAATAATTATTTTTACATAAACGAGGATTTATCTCTCAGGATATTTAAAAAAAAAAAAATTTTTTGATTTTTGAAAAATAATGAAATTTCTATAGAGAGTTTAATGAGAGAAAGAAAGAAAGAAAGAAAGAAAAACGAAAGAAGTTACATTTTAGAGTTTACAAGAAAGTTGCATTTCTATTTTTAAGTATGAAAAAAAAAATATGAACAAATTAATTTATTTCTAATATTCTAAGTAAAGTTGAGACAGTATTTTTTCACGTCAAATTTTTTGTCAAACATTCCAATATTAATAAATGTTTACTTTTTTAATTAAATATTATAATCGCACTTGTGAATTTTTCAATAATTATAAATTTAATTAGTGTTTACGCAAATTTGTTTTTTATTTTCAATGTGTTTTTTCCAATGTGGGAGAGAAATATCTGTGAGTTGAAAATCATTTTTACTAAATTTTTTCCAAAAAAAATAAGATATTTTTTCAAATAACTTCTATTCTAGAAATTGTTTTATTCTTATTTTTTTAATATATATATATTTCGAATTTTCACTCACGAAATTATTATTACTACTATTATTATTATTACTACTATTATCATTATTATTATCATTACTATTATATTTATTATTATTATTATTATATTATTATTATTATTAAAAATGTAGATATACAAAATTTTTCTCACTTGAAATAAATATTATAATTCATATCGTGAGAATGTTTCTTTATTTTTATTTTAAAAAATAATTTTTTTTTTTTTTTGAAATCAATTGTATAGTAATATTCCAAATTTATTAGAAAATAGAAAATCTCAGAAAAAGCATCTCTGATACAATTGTTACAAATATCGGAAAAGCTTTGAAAATTGGAGCACGCCATCGACAACGAAACACCGGTAGAGGCCGAAAAAAAAAACAAATTTCATTCCAAATCGACGAACATGAAATCAAAATAAAAAAAAAAAATGTTGTCGACAATATTGCACTTTAATAAAAAAAAAAGAGATTCTAAATTAAAAATCGACTAAAAGAAAAAAAGCTTTTGCTCTGTGATTCTCATTAAATTTTTGAACAAAAAGGTCATTTTTTAAAAAATGCAAGTGACTTTCAAAAATTTCAAGAAAAAAAAATTTCAGGAAATATAAATGATTTTTTTTCAAGAAAAAAAAATTGATTTGAAAAAAAATTTTACTCCAAATAAGTATTAATGAATATTTAAAAATTTAATATTTCAAAAATTAATTAATTATTTTTGAAATAGAATAAAATTTTTTTCTACTATTATTT